ATCCTGGAGCCAATTCACCCCTAGAGGTGGGGGAGTACTACTGTGACTCATGGGGCAACAGACAAGGGACCCAACCAGGACCTAAGTCCTTTGTCCCTCCATCCCCAGCTAATCTTCCTTGCAAAGTTTCCAGCTCATCTTCCTTGTAATATTTCAGCTCCAGGCCATATCAGGACTCCAGATCAGCTCTGCTTCTTATCCAGAGCATGCATACAACATAGGGTAGATACTCTCCACTGCATTGCACAGCATCCCACCATCCCAGAGCCTGGTTCAGCTTTACACTCCAAACTCACTTCCCATGAATCGCCACATCAGGATGCCCCTGTGTGTCTGGGCTCAGGGTTTTCAGGGAAAAGTGAGACATCCTCCACCCAGCCACACCATGGATTGAGAATCATCTAGAGAATTCTACTAAGTTGCACACATGGACCTGCTGAGGGTTCACCAATGGAGAGCACCATCCCTTTAAAGGCCAAGGCTGTCATGATGGTGAACTCTGGAGGCAGAAGGATGGTGAGCTAGAGATTAGCCTGGGCTACACAATGAATGCTTGTTTTACTTGTTTTTAAAAATACAAATTTTGGCTGGTTGCACCTGTTGGCCCTTTCTACACTTAAGGTGGCTTTAGTCCAGTCCAGACTACTGTTGGGGTCCTTCATGGTTCCTCAGCTTCTCTCCTGTACCCTTGGGGCCTCCATAGGCTCCTGGCCCCAAACACCACCTCCATTGCAGGCTATTGGTCTCAAGAGCTGTAGGGCATAAAGGTCTACTGTCTCAAGTCATACAGTTGTGGTCATTTGTTAAGCAAGCCCCAGGATACTTGCCCATGCTGGAGGAGATAGAGGCTAGCCCAAGTAGCTGATGGAGCAAAGTTGGTCAGCCAGTCACTGTGTCCCTCCTGGAAGCTCAGAAGGAAAAGGGTGAGGGTTATACCTCTGTTGTCACAACTCCTAAGGTTCTGGTTCTCAACCTGTGGGCAGAGACCCCTTAGTGACCGAATGACCTTCTTTCCCATAGAAAACACAGATATTTGCATTACGATTTATAACAGTAGCAAAATTACAGTTATGAAGTAGCAACAAAAATAATTTTATGGTTGGGGGTCACTGCAACATGAGGAACTGTATTAAAGGGTCACAGATTCGGGAAGGTTGAGAACCACTGTCCTAAGGGAACAGGAGGGTAGACTGGCCTCCAGGGAGAATCTGATTCTGCATGGTGTGACTGACAGGCCATGCCCCTCCTCAGGCCTTTTCTGCTCTGAAAGTCAACTCTAAGACTCTAGAAGAGGAAGGGAAGAGGGAAAGCCAACACCAGCTCCACCCCTACCCCAACTCTGGCCTGCTAATTAAAGTCCCTTCTAGACCATCAGCTAACAACAATCCCTAGGCTAGCAATTAGACCCTAAGACCTGACTACTAGGCCAGCACACTGACCTGTGTATCAGTAGAATAAATGAAGTACCCTTATTTCTTCTGGCCCCCTTTTTTGCCCAAGGGAGCCCCAGATGGTTGGATACCCCACTGAGGACTTTCTAGCCCAGGGATCCAAAGCTTTGACACACATGAGAACCATCCAGATTGTCTCAGGTCTGTTGCAATATGGCCTCCAGCAGATGGGCCAGGTGTCATGTGCTGGGTCCCAACTATCCCTTTTAATCCCCCCACTATAAACAATAATTGAATAGTTTCCATAATCAGATCTATATAGATTTGACCTTACAGGTTTAGTACGGTGTGCTACACTTGCACAAACAGGAAAAAGATTCAGTGGTCTAGGCCAAAAAGCCTATTGATTTCTCCACAGTGGTAAACTGTTTTCCAAAGCTGACAGCAGAGCCAGTCTTCAAAATGCAAATTATATGTGTATGTATGTATTTATATGTGTATGGCTGGGCATGGTGGTACATGCTTTTAATCCCAGCACTTGGGAGGCAGAGGCAGGCAGATGTCTGTGAATTCAGAGCCTGGGGTGCATGTATGTATTTATATATGTATGTATATTCCTATGAAAAGACTGGTGCTAGGGATGTAGCTCAGTTGGCAATCTCAGCATTCAGCAGGTAGAGGCAGGAGGATTAGAAGTTCAAGGTCATCTCAGTTATATAGAAAGTTCTAGGCCACCCAGGGTGGTCAACACAGGGAACCTAGACTGATACAGATCTCCTTCTGGAACCTTCTGTACAGATCCGCCCAGGTAGCTCCAGCCCAGGCTGAGTTCTGAGAGCACTGATCTTGAAAGCCTATTTGAAACTCAGGAGTTCTTGATAATAGATCCAGCCCCATTCTGTGCCCAGGGCAATGTCCAGCTCCCTGCCCCACACTAGGACTTAGCCCTCTTGTCTCCCTTGTTACCAGTGCTTAAGCTAAGCCTCAGCAGCACCCGATATTCAGGAATTAGGGCAGCAGCCCCAGTAGGTGGGAGCAGATGCCCTCTCCAATCACATGTGCCACCCCCACCCCTGTGCTACGGGAGCCACCTACCGAGGACCCCAGGCTTGAAACCATCCAGGACTCTAAAGTCAGCACTCTTCTGACTGTTTATCTGACATAATCAGGGTCAGGGGGCTGGTCAGCCTGTTCCGCCCCAGCCTACCTTGCTCCTCCCCGAATTTTTAAAGAACTTTTTGGCCAAGTGTGATGGTACAGGCCTTTAATGCCAGCAACTACCCGAGACAGAGCAGGTAGTTCCACAGGGGTAGTTTGAGACCAGCAGGAGCTACACAGAGAAACACTGTTTCAAAAAGAATATTCTTTCTGCACCCCTTAAGAGACTGAGGCCTGAGGTGGATCTCTGTGAGTTCGTGAGTTCGAGGCCAGCCTGGTCTCCAGAGCGAGTGCCAGGACAGGCTCCAAAGCTACACAGAGAAACCCTGTCTCGAAAAACCAAAAAAAAAAAAAGTTGGATGCCTGTTACAGTGTGTCACCAGCCTATCCTACACCTGCACAACACCTTAGTGTTCTAACACACTGGGTCCTTGATATTTTCAGGGCTTTGACAAGGAACCCTTGGCAGTTGTACCTGGGGCTCCCCATTCCCATCCACCACATGGCAGACAGAAGTGCCAGCAGGTTTTTGTCTTTGATTCTGCCAATCTGATGGGAGAATGCCTTCTTCAGGGAAACTGCTTCATTTCTTTCTTTTTTGATGAGTTGGTCCAGATAGTCCTCCAACTCACAATCCTCCTGCCTCAGCTTCTTGAGTGCTCTGGGTCTGTTTCCTGCTCAAAGAGGGCAGGAAACTTCTTCAAAACACACAGCCCATGGAGGGCACTCTGGGGAAATAGCCCTTATGTGGCTCCAGGCAACCAACAGCTGTCAGGTACCTGTGCCAGGCCATGAACACATCTGGGTCACTACCAAAATTTTCTTGAGGCACAGTTCCCACTGTAGTCTAGGCTGGTCTGGAACTTATTTTGTAGCCCGGGATAGCCTCAAATTCAACAGCCATTCTCCTGCTTCAGCCTCCCAGATACTGGGATTATACAGATCACACCTGTGATCCTCAACTGAGGCTGATTTGTGTGGGTATCTGTCTGCATTTCTGTGTGTCTGTGTCCCACAATGAGAATGTGCCAGATTTCAGAGAAAAACAAACCCCATAGAGTGAGATGTGGTGATGCACGGTTTCATCTCAGCATGCAGGAGGGAGAAGCAGGAGGATCAAGAATTCAAAGCCTGCATAGCAGGGCAAGAACTTATCTCAAGAAATAAATCAGTGAGCACTCTACTTTAATCCCAGACTCAGGAGGCAGACGCAGGTGGATCTCTGAGTTTGAGGACAGCCTGGTCTACAGAGCGAGTTCCAGGACAACCAGGGCTACACAGAGAAACCCTGTCTCAAAAAAAAAAAAAAGAAAGAAAGAAAGAAAGAAAGAAAGAAATGCAGAAACAGAACAATTCTCCAGCCTCACCTTCCCAAGTGCTGGGAAGTCAAGTGCATGCTGTTCATCCAGGGATGACAGATTTATTCCGTAAGTCCAGCATTGCTTATTTCCTGTGGCTAAGCTCTTATGGTCACCCCCATAGGGCAGCCTCCTATGTCCATTTTAGGGTTGACAGGCTGAGGGCCAGGAGAAGGGGCCAGAACTGATCAGTGATTAGTCCAGGCTGGACCCTGTCTTCTGCACTGAACCCTTGCTCTTCACAGCTGAGACCCCAGCAGCCTTCCCTGAGGGCCCTGCAAGATGGCAGAACTGGTTCCTGTATGTGCTGGGTGCAGTCAGGAGATTAGCCCTTAGCCTGAACTCCCCACAGCCTCTTCACAGGCTCCTCCCAGTGCAAGCTCCAGCTGCAAGTCCCTGACGCAAGTAGGAGCTTTTCCCTTAATTGAAAAGAGATTTAAAATCATCTCTGTTGGGCCCAGGCTGCTGAGAAAAGGTAAAAACTACCAGGGCCATCAGCCATCACCAAATCTATAGTAACACTAGGCTTTCCCTGTGGTTGGAATTATAAACCGAAGGAAAGTAAGGGATTACACGTCTGGATCCTCACAGGCCTTTGCTCTTGTGTTTTGAAAGATTCTCAGCATCCCCTGCTCCTGCTCAGACCCTGAATTCCTGCCCACTACCCTCTTCTCTGCCTCCTGCTGCTTTGATTGTCCCTCCTGCCCCCAGCAGCCTCCAGCCATCTCCCCTCCAGCCACCGGTGGCCTGTTGTTTGTCCTTGTCCCTTTGTGACCAAACTCTGAGTTTCTGGGCCTGTGTCTCCAGACCCAACATTGGAGCCGAGTGACTTCAGTGTATCTTAGTTTGGTGGCTCCTCCTAGCGAAGTGTTCAACTTATTAGGTCCCTCCCTTCTTTCCCCAAGCAGGTCCTGTAATCCCTGTGACCCACTCATGGAGAAGAGTAATCCCAGCATCCCACAAAGAAAGTGAGAGGTCACTTGGCAGTTGCTTTTTGTAAAAAGGGGGTGAAGTGAGCACACGCAGGCTTTTACTCTGATGAAGGCAGGGCTGTGTCTCACCCCATTGGTTCAAGCTTCACCTCACACTCAGACACGATTGCCTAATTGGCACAAAGGGGAAACATGTGATGGAGCTTCAGGAATGCCCAGGGGTTGGGAAAACAAGCACAGCACAAGGTAGGGGGAGATTTATGGAGTATTTGGCTAGTTACCTTTGTTAGGAAAAACCATTTCTCACCCCGTTTCTGTTGCTGGAACCTGGCGTGGGGGCTCTGTGGGTGAGCAGAGAAACATCTATGGGGGTCTTTTTGAATCTCAGTTTTGTGCCCAACACATGGAGCACTGCCTGGTACACAGAACATGCCTGTTGTCAGGGCATGAGCTCCTCCAGGGCCAGGGCTGGGCTTGGTCCCTTATTCAGAAGTGGGTCACAGAAGCTGACACAACAAGTGTCAGCTTGGCAGCTCTGGCCAAGATAGACCTCTTTCCCAAGTCCATGGCTATCCAACAAGAGACGGAAAGGTGACCTCTGCGTGCCATGCTGACATGGAACTCTTGTTCCTCCTGCCTCCACCTCCTGAGTGCTGGGATTGCGGTACAGCACCATGCCACATGGTGCCTGGGATAGAACCCAGGCTTTGCGAATGCTGGGCAAGCTTTCTACCTGATAAAGTAAATTGCTGGCTTCTAGAACCAGTAATATTCTGTCCAGCACCCACCCCAGCTGTACTCTCTTGATTCTCTTGAATGGTAGAACCCCTACACGTTGGTGGCCTATGTACCAGGTGCCTGATATTGGTTGGTTTGACGAAACTGCTAAGAGTAAAGGGCCTGGCATAGTAACAGCTGGCGTTCCTGGAAGGTGCATTAGGCCAGCTCTGGGGCTACTCACTTCAGTGGCCTGGGAGAGAGTTAGTGACAGTCTGGCTCAGTGGTTCTCAACCTTCCTGATGCTGTGACCCTTTAATACAGTTCCTCATGTTGCTATGACTTCCCTCAACTATAAAACTATTTTTGTTGCTACTTCATAATTGTAATTTTCCTACATTTTGTTATGAATCGTAATGTAAATATCTGTTTTTTAATTGTTTTAGGCAATTCCTGTGAAAGGGTCATTTGACCTGGGGTCTTGACCCACAAATTAAGAACCACTGGTCTAGCCCCTCTGTGGGGTTATTATGTACCCCTAGCAGGGGAGAAAACAGGTGGGGCCACTGCCCAGGTAGATTGACGCCAAGCCCAGCTGTCTGTCTGGCTCATGTTGTACTGGGTTCAGCAGGTTGGAGCCTCTTGTGTGTGAAAGTTGCTTTTTCTGTGGAGAGGAAGGTGGTTGGGCCGTTTCCAATAGAACCAGAACGCTGTTTCACAATGAGCCAGTAGAGGGCACCTGTGAGCCATGCCTGTGCAGCCCAAGCCTGTTAAGGCTTTGGGAGGCTTGGGGAATGCTGGGGTAGAGCATTCCCTTGAGGTAGAGCATTCCCTACCTCAAGGTAGGGTGACCTAGGTAGAGGCTAGATGTGGGGTCATGGGCATGAGCTCACCTGGCCCCAAGCTTTAAAAAAAAGGAGAAATAAGGGCCGATGCACTATGGGTTAGAGCCACAAGAGATCATGCCTCCTCTAGGCCAGCTATGGTCCTAATTCCCTCCGTGGTATGAGGATGGAGACAGTGGGAATATAGGCTCTGCTCACCTCAGCTGGGGAGGCTGCAGCAGGTGACTGGCCGGCTTGGTGGGGAATTGGCAACCAGCTTAGTGTTCCCCAGGCCCTAGCCAGTGGGATTGTTTCAGGCCATGTCATCCACGTGTACATGGTTTCTTTTTGTTTGTTTCTTTTTCAAGACAGGGTTTCTCTATAGCTTTGGAGACTGTCCTGGAACTCTCTTTGAAGACCAGGCTGGCCTTGAACTTACAGAGATCCCCCTTTCTCTGCCTCCTGAGTGCTGGGATTAAAGGCGTGCGCCACCACAGCCCAGCCATGTATATAGTTTCTATGAGCTCCATATTTTACAGCTAGGGAGATCAAGGCTCAGAGAGCCAAGCCACCCATTTCCACACTCACCCTAGTTTAAGTGTTCCCAGCCCTGACTGTGAATCTCCAGGAAGCTTTATGAACAGCCAGTACTCAGCTCAGAAGGCAGAGACTCAGCCCCTTGGGGATCAGGCTTGGGAGAAGGAAGACTATACACACAACTCCTGGGTAAATAGTTAAATCTCCCAGGGTGAAAATCAAAGAGAGACAGGAAGAAGAAAACTAGATTTGGTAGGGCACATCTGCAAACACAGCTCTTGGGAGTTGGGGGTAGGAGTTCAAGGCCAGCCTTGGCCATGGGGAGCCCTGGCTCAAAATCAAAAGAAACCTCTCTGAGAATCCCCACAAGGAGCCATGGGGAGCACCACAGCCAGCAGAGGGCAGGGCTAGCACTCAGCCCGTTCTTGCCAGGCTGTGTATCACCTTGTTCAACTTCTCTGAAGGCAGCTTAGGCTGGGTCTGTGGGGTCTGGTTGATGGGGGAGGGGGCATAGAACGATGCTCAAGGTGGGGAACCCCAGCACATGGTACAGCCCAGAAAGGCTTCCTGATCCTGCTCCTGCTCCAGGCCTAGCCCAACCCTGGATCCCTGGTCTGTGGCCTGCCTCACCTGTCCCTCTGGAAACAGGCTTCTAATCGCCTGAGGCAGTCACGGAACTGACAGACGACAGCTCTGGCCCCCAGGGTGGCTGGCATTTGTTTTTTAATCTTCACTGTTGCCTAATCCTCCTGGGAGCTTTGCTTCTGGCCAGAAGTGGCAAGGCTGTGCTCCAGGGCTGAGGGGCCAGGAACCTACCCTTCCCCTTCCCTTTCTCCTTCCCTCCCCTCCCTAACATCGCTCCTCCCAGTGTCCCTCCCTCTTCCCTGCTTACTCCCCCTCTCCTCCTGCTTCCCTCCTCCCTGCCTCCAGCATCTCCTGGGTTCACTGAGCCCCAGATACTTCCCACTTAAGCTGTGGGCTCTGTCCTCAAGCTCCAGACCCTGTTAGGATGTAAGTCCTGCTGTGGGAGTGTGACTCACCACTGCTGTGTCAGAGTCAGGGTGGGGGTGAGTGAGTGGGAGGCTCCTCTGTCGCTGTGGGGTGATCAGCACTTCCTTTTGTTGAGGTCTCTGGGAGCAATAGAGACAGGACTGATAGAACAGAGCCTGATCCCCACATCTCTGGGAGCAATAGAGACAGAACTGATAGAACAGAGCCTGATCCCCACGTCTCTGGCTGTGCAAGTCCCTTCATTCAGTCACACACAAATGGCCGTGATGCCCTCATGGCCAGGCTCTGCTTTCAGATAAGGTTGGCATGAACATGCCCAGGCTGGGAGACTTTGTTGGCCCATTGGGACATCAGAGTTAACCTAGACCCTGGGGATTATCCCGGGTGTGAGGCAGCAGGGACTGGCCAGCCACAAGCTCTCATCCGGGACCTGTCGGCTGCCTATAAATAGGACTTTATCAGGATGGACTCATGCCCTGTCATCCCTGTAGGTTCTTGGCTGCCAACATGCCACAGAGGCAGAGTTGTAGGTGACAGCTACTGCAGAGGAAGTAACTGCAGGGCTCTGTGCAGGGAGCTGTGTGCACCATTATTCATCATTGCCAGGACAGGAAACATTGGCACTGGGAGATATCCAGTCTCTGGCTTAGGGACCCTGCTGCCTCCTACCAGTCGGTCAGCCATGTGCATGCAAATTATTGTTCTCTCTGGTCCTCAGCTTCCACATCTGTGTAATGGGCAGATAGCACTTGGCAGAGAAACTGTGAACTGAGAGGAAAGACCATGTCAGCCTCAGGAACTGGGTTTGTACCCTAGAAACCTCCCATGTTTTTGTCTGTTTTCCATGTTGGCTTCTTTGTGACACCACTGTGCTAGAATGTCTCAGTCAGGTCCCAGGATGAGATGGGGTGAAACTGGGGTGTGCAAGAAGGAGAGGGAGACTCTAGCTGTGCACCATAGTGACTACTTCCCAACAGAAATGGATGGGTTTGGCTTCCGATTTTGTCAATAAGAAAGGAATGCTGTGAGGAGCCAAAGCTAAAACCCAGGGTGAGGTCTCACTCTGCCTCCGGCACAGAGAAGGCTTCACTGAGCAGACAGATGAAGCCTGGAGCACCAGCCAGGCTGGAGTACCAGCTGGGAGGTCATCTGCCCCTGGGCTCCTTCTTGGAAGCCTGCAGGGAGTGACCTGAATTTGGATCACATGAGAGGCAGGGCTTCCCCGCAGGGGTTTGTGTCCTGCGGGGATTTTGAGCGGTGACTTCACTGGCGGTGGCTTCTGTTCACTGCCTTCTAAACTGTCAGGATCCTCAGCCAATTGTCTGGAGGCTTCTGAGAGAGATTTAAGTGGTTACTGGTGGCTAAGTCCAGCATGTAGTGCCCTCCTGTGTGATGCAACCAGGTGCCAATTCCAGTCCCACCCCCCTGTATCAGGCCACCCACCCTGCCATGCCAGCTGCTCCCCAAGCCCCCCTGGGTGTGACTGAGTCACCAAGACATGTCACACTTGATCACAGGAATGAACACCTGACCATCCCATCTGTGGAGTCACACATGGTGCTAATCCCTCCTTGACCCTGGCATGTGACAGTGCACACACAGTGTGAATGTGTGGTCCTGACATGAAATGACACTCAGTGTCTTTACCAAGGAATCACCTTGGGTCTCTGTGTGTGTCCTATACATTGTGGGTTGAATTGTATCACTGCAAGATTAGTATATTGAAAGGTTGTGGGAGCTTATGACTGCAATCCCAGCACTGAGGAGGTTGAAGCAGGGGGATTGAGAGTTTGGAGATAGCCTAGGATACCTAGGAAGATCCTGTCTCAAACCAAAAGAAGAAGATAGGACAGGGTTTTAATCAAAATAGTCATTGGTGTGGGGCTGGAGGGGGTGGTGGTACAGGGGTGGGGAATGGTAAGGGGTAAGGTTCATCAGCCAGAATCAAGTTGACTCTTGACCTGTCTTGTTCAGTTCTCCATGGTGGGGACTGGGCTTGGGTGTGGCCTTACCACATGGTGACCTGTTTACAGGCTCTGCCCTTCCTGGAATCCTGGATCACTGCATGTTGAGGGCAGTAATATGGAGATTGCCTGCCGGATGCCTTTTCTGTGGAGACCAGAAGGTGTCTCAGGCTCTTTGTGCCTTTAAAGGAGATGTACATCTGGCTTGTCAATCACAACTTAGACAGACATCTAGGGATTCACAGTCCTGCATGCAGAGCTAGCTGGGAGGCAGAAGCTGGACAAGGCTGGTCACCTGCTTTCATCCTGCCACGCACTCCAGTGGCCCTGACCTGCTGGGGTCACAGCTTCTAGCAACAATTCTTTTTAGTTTGTGTTTGTTTGGTTTTTTGAGACAGGGCTAAGTTTGTGTGTGTGTGTGTTTGTTTTCTTTTTCTTTTAAACTTATGTATTTATTATATGTGCATTGGTGTTTTGCCTGCATGTATGTCTGTGTGAGGGTGATGGATTCCCTGAAGCTGGAGTTACAGACAGTTGAGGGCTGCCGTGTGAGTCCTGGAATTGAACCCAGGTCCTCCAGAAGAGCAGCCAGTGCTCTAAACTGCTGAGCCATCTCTCCCACCTTTTTTTTTTTTTTTTTTTTTTTTTTTTCAAGATAGAGTCTCACTGTGTAGCCCTGGCTGTCACAGAGATCTACCTGCCTCTACCTTCTGATTGTTGGGATTAAAGGCATGTGCCGCCTCCACCACCCAGCTAGCTTTTGTTTCTTGAGATAGTCATACTGTGTCTCCTGGCTCCTCCTGCTTCAGCCTGAGTGCTGGGATTGTAGGTGCCCTCCGCCATGCCTGGCTATAGGAAACATGGTCTTCAGGCTCTGGTGCACTTGGTGTCCTCCTGGGGCAGTGTTTGACCTCCCACACAGCCAGTGGTCCAAGGCAGGCCAAGGATTGTTACTTCTGCCCATTCTGTTCTTTAGGATGAGGCCCTGAGTCCCCTCCCCACTAGGACTGAAGCACCACAGCTTGGGAACATCCTGACAGTGGCCAGGGCTTACCTGGAATGTGGTAGAGACAGTCACTCAAGACTGGGTGATTTTTTTTTTAAACTAATTGTCGCCAGGCATTGGTGGCACACGCCTTTAATCCCAGCACTCAGGAGGCAGAGGCAGGCAGATCTCTGTGAGTTTGAGGCCAGCCTGGTCTCTAGAGTGAGTGCCAGGATAGGCTCCAAAGCTACACAGAGAAACCCTGTCTCGAAAAACAAAACAAAACAAAAAACTAATTGTCCCCTGTCTCATTCTGCATGGCTTGGTTCTTCAAGGCTGACTGGGGCCAAGTGGCAATAAAGGAAGGACAGACACACAGACAGAAAAGCTAGAATCAGGTGGACTGTGCTTGCTCTGACGGAGGCAGCTACTATGTAACTGCAGCAGGGAAACTGGGTACACTTTTTGTTTTTTGTTTTTTTTTTTCAAGACAGGGTTTCTCTGTGGCTTTGGAGGCTGTCCTGGAACTAGCTCTTGTAGACCAGGCTGGTCTCGAACTCACAGAGATCCGCCTGCCTCTGCCTCCAGAGTGCTGGGATTAAAGGCATACACCACCAATGCCGGGCTCTGGGTGCACTTTTTTTGTGTGCAGTGTAAGGAAGAGGGGTTAGCTAGTCTTGGCAAGGTCTCTGTAGGACAGCAGCATCTGGACTGTGAACATCTGGGAGAAGCAAGCTCTATCAACATTCCTTCTCAGATCCAGGGAGGCTTTGCCATTCCTGTGGATCTGAGGTACTGGGGTCCTTGACATGGCTATGCCCATGTCAACAATACACATTCACTCAGGGCTTCCTTCATCCCCTCCAGCCCCCAAGTCTGGTGTTCTTTGGGGTAAAGACAGGACCCAAGTTCAAAGGTTTCTGAAGGTTTTGATTACTTAATGTAAAATTTAAAACTCTGTCACTTACTCCAGACTCCATGAGTGCTCCAGACTCCATGCTGGGCTCAGGGGGACCAATAAGGAAATGGTGGCTATTCTAGGTGCTCTCAGCAAAAGCAGAGTTAAGAGCTGTCTGTCCTCTTAGTGCCTGTGACTAAGCAAGCACAGACAGGTCAAAGAGGTCATGAGATGGCCTGAGCCATCTTCCCCAAAGATAAGTAAGCATGCTATGCTGGATTTTGAGGGATGGATAAGAGCTCATTCTTCTGGCAAAGGAAGAAAAGTGCATTTCAGGCAGGGGACCAGCACATGCTAAGGTGTGAAGGGGCTGAAGGACTTCATGACTCTTGGTTCTAGATGGGAACAGGTGTCCCTCCAGATGGGACTCTGAGGTCATCTTAAGTTTGGGAAGCCTTGGGTTAGGCCAATTTAAAACCCTTTCCACTAGGGCTGGAGAGACAGCTCAGTGGTTAAGAGCATTTGATACTCTTTCAGAGGATCCAAGTTTGGTACCCACCACTACATGGCAGCTCACAACCATCTGTGTCTCCTGATTCAGGGGATCCAACACCCTCTTTTGGCCTCCATGGGCACCAAGCACTTGGTTCACAGACATTTATTCAGACTTTCAAACATATAAAATACACTAAATAAACCTAAAACCTAAAAAGAAGAAAGCCTTTTAATGTTGTCTGTGGTGGCTCGTGCCAGCAATCCTAGCTCTGGGAAGGCTGGGGTAAGAGGATCACCTTGCATTTGTGTACAGCCTGACTGCTGAGCAAATTCCTGGTTAGCCTTTGCCTGGGCTAGAATGCGATCTTGCCTCAAAAACAAACAAACAAACAAAAATCAGAAAACCCAAATCTTGTCCTCATGCAGGACTTCTCAGAGCCTTTGGCTGGCAGAGTTGTGAGTGCCCAGCAGGAGAATAAAGTAGATGGGATACGATTCCCAACTCAGTGATTATAATGCCCCTTCCTGGAACATCTCAGGTCAGGTGTTCCAGGGGACAGACTTTGGGAAATGTTGCTCATATCTGAGAAGATGCCACTCAAAGGCCACTACTCCCGTTCATATCTCTGGGGGACAGACGGCGTTTAGAGCCCGCATGGAGCTGTGCAAAATTGGGGGTTCATTTCCCTTTCCTTAGTCTCAGTTTCCCTGTCTGTGCAGTGAGAATGGCAGTGTCCCTTTGTGGAGCTTGGGCACTCTCAGAGTGAGGCAAAGGGACTGAGTGACTGCCAGGCACCAACAGAGGGCCTGATGCTCTCTCTGTCATGTCCTGTATCCCTCAGGCTTTAAGATGTGTGTCAGCAGCAACAGCAGCAGCAGCAACTATGACGAGGCACCTGTGCTAAACGACAAGCACCTGAGTGTCCCCAACATCATCATTACACCCCCAACCCCGACGGGCATGGGGCTGGCCAGAGACTCCAAGCAACCAGGTGAGGCAGCACCACTATTTGAGAGACTGCTCCCAGGATCCCATCTGTGTCATGGCCTGACCTGGTTCCCAACTCTGTGGCCATTCCACCCTGGGCCTTTTGCCATGATGCCAGCCCTAGCTAGACATAGCTTGTTGAGCAATTGTCCAAGCAGTCCTTGCTGGCAGCTGGGAGGATGATGGATTGGTCTGGGCTGGCCCCCATTCCCCATCTTAGCCACTCACTGGAATAGAAAGATGCTCCATCCCTTCTAACAGCAAGGTGTACCGTCTTCCAAGGTGCTGGCTACAACAGCTCAGACAACAGGATAGACTGGGAAACAGCCCCATGCCAGGCTATGACTGTCCCTGGGTCTTCCAGATGTGAGGGGAGGGGAGACATGAAATGTTACTAGCCAGATAGCATACAGGGTGGGGTGCAGACTGGTGTCTTGACTGTCTCTGCTGATGCCCTTGGAGCTGGCAGGAGAGACTGCTCTCCTGTGCACTGAATGGAGATGCATTGAGCCAGGCCTGGCTGGACAGGTCCACAATCCCAGTTATTGGTGAAACCAAGGCAGAAGGATCACAAGTTCAAGGCCGCCTGAGCCTCAAAGAAAGCCCAATGCCAGCCTGGGCAATTTAGCCAGCCCCTGTCTCAAAATAAATATTGAAAAGGGGTTGTCTGTACTCGGTGATGGAGCTCTTGAGGCCCTGGGTTTTGTCCGTCTGTCTCCAACACCAAAGGGAGAAGGCTGTTGGTGGTGGGGATGCTTGTAGCTGATGGCCCATACTGAGGGAATGGGCCATTTTCTCATAGGTGCTCAGGACAGATTTAGCATAGATCTCACCCCTCAGCTACAGATGAGCAAACTGAGGCTCACAGAGGCTGATGAACAAATGATGTGGAAACTATTGAGTCCCATGGCAGTAGGTGGCATCCTGATGGAGCAGGCCCAAAAGGAATAGGTCCCAGGGAGAGGTAGGAGTCAGCAGGAGGGCAGACGACCACCCAAATCCCTGCAGAGGGCAGCCACATTGGTACCTTAGCAGCCCATCAGACCACCCTCTTTCAAGAAACTGCCACACTGAGGGTCAGGCTTCCAGCATACAGGCCCAGCCAAACCACAGTACTCACCCTCCTTTGTAGCCTTTCCCAGAGCCCCTCACCAGGATATATGATGAGGCACACCTCAGTTACAACTCACTCCATCACTGTGGGCTGTAGGCACTATTTGTAGCTCTGCTTTAGAGACGCGGCAAGGAAGGGATGCAGGGAAGGACATCAATTCACTTGAGGGCCCACAGCTAGGCAAAAGAAGAGCCAGGCTCCTGCCCATTGCTTCTCTGCCTCCCAGCTAATGTCCAGGCAGACCCAGAGAGGAAATCAGAGACCTAGTCCTCAGCTTTGTCACTGGCCACTTCTCTCTCTAGACCCAGTAGCCCCTTTTGTAAAGTTTCCAAGGCCAGTAGCTACCCCCCACAAAATTGTGAGGTAAAATTTCAGGCTAAAGCTGAGTTCTTAGGAGGCTCCTGAACCTTGGAAGAAGTTCCTTTAAGTGTGGACAACTGTGGGGTTCATGGATCCAGATGGGTGGCCCACACAATCTCTGGAACCCACACTTTTGGGCTCTGCTATGCTTCCAGAATTCCGCTTGCCCCTTAGATGTGCTACTGTGAGTTTCCCTAAGCCTCAGTGGTGTTCCCTGTGCAGGGAAGACAAGCAAGAGGTCTCTTGAATACCTCAGGCCCTGCACATGGCTGTGCTATTGATGCTACTAAGAGAAACATCACTAGACTGGACCAGGGCCTGCGAGCTGGGAACACTTGTTACACACTCCAGGAATCCTGACGTAGCACCCCAGCTCTGACACAACCTTCAGATCTGAAACTCGAGAAGATTCTGATCTCCTCAGTTCCCAGGAAGGCCTAGGTGGTGGGGGACCTGAGGCACTGGGAATCCTTCTCAGCCTAGGTTGTGGGGTCCTGGGGTGGTGGCGTAGGGAGGCTGACCAAGGACCTGTTGAGGTTCGTTCTTCCTGATGTTGATCCCTCTTTCTCCTAGTCTGCATAGATGAGTCAGGGTCTGACCAAGATGATGGGGAGTTGGATCCTGAAGCCTGAGAAGTCACCAAGTGGTGGGACCTATATGGCAGCTCCCTGCCTCACTGCCCCTTGCCCCAGGTGTTGGGGACATGGCTACCTGAGCAGCTGGTTGAGGACAGAGAACTGGGCCCTGGACCAAGATAGGAGTGGCCAGAGGAACCTAGCAGGGCTCTGGACCCCATGGAGCAGACATCTGTTGTTCTCGCCAACCCTCTCTAGACCCCAGCTTGGTGAAGAGGAGATGAACCTGCCCTACGGCCACTGTGACCACGGACCCTGGCCCTCACGGTCACAACATACAAGGACTTCTCGCCAGAGCAGGGCCTCTGTTTTGTTTTGTTTTGTTTTGTTTTGTTTTTTACAAGTTTTACAGGTACAGAACCCACATCCTGAGCGAGATTTATAAATAAAGCACCTTTGTGACTTGTGGGATCCTGCTTCTTGGGTTTGGGGGGCAGTGTCTTCCTCACCAGGGTGAGGGGCAGGGAGGATATCACAGGCAGTCAATGCTGGGAGTGCAGTGTGTCCACACTCTTGGCCTTAGCCCACAGAGATTTCGAAGCAGCCAGGGAATGTTATTTAAAGGAAGTGGCAGGTGAGATGAGAACACACACGGCAAGGACCGCTCACAATTGGTAAAGACATTCACAAGGAACTCAGCTACTTCCGAGTCTGGGGCTTCCTTTCTGGGAGTGTGACAGAATGAGCATTAGGGTTACTTACTGAGGAGCATTGTGAGGGTGGTTTCTGTTCCCCTTTTAATACTTATTTTATGAGTATGTGTGTATACCTGAGTGTATGTCTCAGCACCACATGCAGGTAGTTCCCACAGAGGCCAGAAGAGGGCGTTGGATCCCCTGGGACTGGAGTTATAGGTGATTGTGAGCCACCAAATAGGTCCTGAACCTGACTCATCTCCTGCAAGAGCAGCCAGTGCTCTTAATCATTGAGCCATCTCCCTAGCCCTAGATTTCTGTTTTGTTTAGCAGTTTAGGTCATATAATCATTTTCTAATATGCAATGTTCCTTTCTTATAATGGCAACACAGATTTTCTCTAATAGCTCACTTGATATAGTTTTGCTTTTTTTTTTTTTGGCATATGTACCCAAAACTAGTTCAGGCTGAATTGGCCCTCCTACCCTATAACCAAGATTTACTGAGAAATATCCAAGTTTGGTGGCCATCGAGGTGAGAGGAAACCTGACCCATTGTTCAGAGAGGGGTGCAGGTATAGCCTGATGCAGGTGGGGTCTGAGGTTGGCAGGTGCATTGCTTGGAGATGGGTGTGTGCCTAGGACACACAGGTAAGGGAGGGAGTAAGGCTTCCTAGGTGTTACTACAAGAGGGTGTATGCCTAGGACATACAGGTAAGTGAGTAAGGCTTCCTAGGTGTTACTTACAAGAGGGTGTATGTATAACCCAGCCCAAGTGAGTCCCAGGTCACTTAGAGCCCAAGCTGACCTTCCTTCAACTGTGTCAGGTATTTGGTCACACCATACAATAGATAATGACTATGGTCAAATCTCACCATGTTGAATATTTAGGCTCCAACATGATTTTGAAGCAACTCCAACATTCAGACTACAGCAATAGCTCCAATGTCCTGAAAATTGCTTGTGGGCTGGTGAAGGCACTTGCCACCCCACCCAGCTTAGATTTCCAGGACCCACAGAGTGTAAAGAGAGAACTGACACTAGTGCATACACACACACACACACACACACACACACACACACACACACCAGAGAAACCTGAGTGTAGTGGCACATGCCCTTAATCCCAGCACTTGGGGGAGTTGGGCAGAGGCTAGCTTGGTCTACACAGCAAGCTCCAGGCTAGCCAAGGATACACAGTAGGACTGCCTCAAAGACTGTCTCAAAATAAATAAAGCAGTAAAGTAATAAAAAGTAGATAAAAAATTTAAGTTAGTTTACTAACTGAGAAAATAAAGTACTACTCTTAATACTTGATGACAATAATGTTGATTTTAACAAAACAAGTGTTGATATCCAGAAACCTCATACATTTGCAAGTACTGGGGGTTGAACAGCCAGAGTCATGCCGAACTCTGCACGTGCAGCCTCCAGCAGGGAAGGCCTCACCACCACACCACTGTGCTCCCTCCCTCCTACTCTACTCACCCCTCTCCCTGCCCCAGCTCCAACTCGGGTGCCTCTCTCATGGATGCCTTTGCACGGTATTGATTTGTGTTGATTTCTCTCGTCCTGCCTGGTGCCTCTTCACCAGGATCCAGGCCAGCCTGGCCTGCCCAGGTTCTGCTCAGTTTGCCATGATGGCAGAAGGCTGGGATGCTTGGTCTTTGCTTCCCCTATACCCCTGCCCTTCATTCTGCTGCCAGTTTACTCTCTGATCTGCCTGCACCCTGCTAAGCAACCTCCACAGGCTTCCTGCTGCCCCCAAAGTGCCTCCCTCAGCTTTCATTCCAACCCAGACCCATGGCCAGCTTTCCCCTTCCTCTGTGCCTTCTGTTCTGGTTATTGCTCCTATGGAATAGGCCCAGTTTTGTGTCAAAACAGCATCTGTTGTGGTCACAAATCCGCAACCTGGGCAGAGCTCAAAGAGACAGCTCATCCCTGTTTCATGAGACTACAACTGAGACATGTCACGTGGGGCTGGAAGTTTGGCATCCAAGGTGGCCCACCCAGGTGACCCATCTACCCACCCACCACAAGTCTGGTGAGTCAGTCCTGACTTTTGGTTTCTCTCCACAGATGGCTTGGGGCTTTCTCATAGTAGGGTGGCCAGGTTCCTGCAAGGAACCTGTCTCCAAAGTCACTTGGTATCACTTTAGCAGTGACGAGGGGCTATGGTATATTCCCCACCTGAGGGGAGGGAACAGCAACCCTGGTTTCTGATGGGAACCATGGCAAAGGTACTGTGGCAGAAGCACATGGGGAGAGGAGTGGTGTGGCCATGCTATGTGTGAGGCAGGGCTCTCAGAGGAGCAGGCCAATAGGATAGAACGTGCATATTGTAAGGATTCAGGCATTGCTGGCCTGCCCCTGTCACCTGGCAGAATGCACTCAGGCAGTACCCTGGTCAGTCCAGGGTTCCATGACTATTAGTCTGCAGGCAGGAGCAAAAGTGCAAAGGACATCCTTAAAAGGAAGACCCCTGCCCACTTATGCTCTCTTTTCTACTCTCTTGTCTGCTGTTCCCCTGGGGCAGATAGGACTTTTCCTGTCTCCCTCTTCTCTTCCGTCTTCTCTCTCTCTCTATGTGTCACTGTGTCTCTTTACCTATTTTCTCTTTACCCCTCCCCAACCCCTTCCCTTTCTAATAAAACTTCTTACTAAGCTCTGTCTGCCTGGCATGTTTGTCCCCTGCCTCAGTCACCCTGGCCTGCCATGGAATCTACCAAGGTTCCCCCACACACTTTATCATAACACAGATACACATATGTGTGTACACACACACATATTCTACAAGGGGTTTACTAGATTGGCTTGTGGGATCCAGGCTGCCTGCACAATGTAGGGGCTAAGGGCTGGGACTCCTCAGCATTCCCACACTGGACTAAAGGCATGGGAATTCCCAAGAATATAGAAATAGGTCTGATGGTGAGGGCGGTGAGGGCTGGGGGGGTGGGGAGGAGCTGCAGTGAAAGCTCCAAGTGAAGGCAGGCACAGGCTGCGTCCTGACTTCTTCAGATCTGGGTTGCCCTTTGGAGGGGGACCATTAAGGGTGATTCTGTACCTACTCTTCCCACGTCATCCTGTGTGGAAACATCCCACAATAGTACCATTTACGTGCCCTAGATAGCTCTTCAAAAACAAAGGTTTTATGACTAGCTTTATGTATTTATTTGGGGGACGGGTGTGTGCACATGTGCCATGGTGCCCATGTGGAGGTCAGGGACAACTTGAGGGATCTGGGATCAAAGTGACAAGCACCTTACCTACTGAGCCACCTTTTCTTTTACAAATTTGTTTTTTGGGGGTGTTTTTTTTTGGGGGGGTGTTATACCAGGATTTCTCTTGCTGCCCTGGAACTCGCTTTGTAGACCAGGCTGGCCTCGAACTCAGAGATTTATCTGCGTTTGCCTCCTGAGTGCTGAGATTAAAGGTATACACCATCATACCTGGCTCTTAAAAAAAATTATTGGAGGGGCTGGAGAGATGGCTCATCAGTTAAGAGCCCTGGCTGCTCTTCCAGAGGACCAGGGTTCAATTCCCAGCACCCATGTGGCAGCTCACAACTCTGTAACTCAGGTTCCAGGGAATCCCACTCCTCACAATGACATGCAGTTCAAACACCAATGCATATAAAAATTAAAAAACTATTGGAGATTTATTATTTTCTTATTTTATGTGTATGAGTGTTTGGCCTGCATGTGTGGCGCTGTGTCATGTGCATGCCTGGGGCCCAAGGAGGCCAGAAGAGGGCATCAGATCCCCTTGAAACTGGAGTTACAGATGGTTGTGAGGCTTCCTCATTTAGCTGCCTCTCCAGCCCCGATCGATACTGAGCTGTTTTGCTGGCCCCCTAAATGGCTCTTAATCTGGTCAAGACCAACCTAAGATGCACACGTGCTCCTAGAAGTTCAAATCTTGAAAAGTTTCCTTTTTGAGATGGGGTGTCACTTGGTAGGGCAGGCTGACCTTGAACTTGAGCAGTTCTCCAGCCTCAGCCTTCCTGGTGCTGGGATCACAAGTAAGTCCGCTCCTGTCTCCTGTGTGGGATATTTAACCGGGCAGTTGTGATGCATGAAACCTAGAGCAGGGGGTTTTGAGGGCCATGGAATTAAATGAGGTCTTGAGGGTGGAGCTCTAGATCAGTGGTTCTCAGCCTGTGGGTTTTGGTCCCTTGGGATCAAACCCTTTCACAGGGGTCACCCAAGATCATCAGAAAACGCAGGCATTTCTATTGCAATCCACATCTAATCTAGATCTGATGCTCTTGCAGCCTAAAGCCTCCTCCCTGGGCACTGTCCCTAGAAAAGTCAGTTTTGGAAGCTGCTACCCTGGTGGTGCCTGCTGAGAGAGATCAGAGAGACCCCCCCCCACCTCATTTGGAATTGAGGGTGAGGAGGCTCTGCCAAGTCCCTCCTGGGGCAGTGCCTTCCCTTGCAAGGGCCAGGAATGCAAGTGCTTCCTCTCCCCAGGCTTGTGGCTGAGACTCCCTCTGTGCCTTTCTGGGTCTTGGGGAGTCAACACCTGGATGGGGTTTGTGCATTACTCCCCTACCCCAAGTTGCATGAATGGTTTGACTCCAAGGGGCCTTGCCTCTTCTGTACTGTGTGTACCACTGAGGCAAGTCCAAAGCAGAGTCTGATTTTGGATGTCCAGAGCAGGGTCTGTGACTGGACATTTGTTTCTTCATTTGTTAGGAATGTGTAGTGGTTTGAATGAAGATGACCCCCCATAGGCTCATAAGGAGTGGCTTGA